TTTTACGTTGCGTAATTTTTTTTTTTTTTTTTTTTTTTTTTGACACGATTCACGTCTGACAATTATATCTCGGGTGGGTTGTATGGAATCGAAAAAACTAAAATCGATATTAAATATCAAATGGACTATCTCGAGGAATTCTTTGCTCGTGCGATGCTTGGATGAGCGTAGTAGTAGTGTGTGTATTTAGATAAGGCCCCTTGAGGCAGTGTAGGGTTTACGATAGTCAGCCGAAATAATACCCCCTCCCATCCCCCCCACTCTCTGCGCTCGCGTTCTAAAAAAATTGTATTATAAAAGAACATTCCAAACGAGTAATAACTTAATGAAATGAAAAAAAACAAACAAGAAACGAAAAGAAAAAAAAAGCGAATCAAATTGTAATAAGGTAGGTGGCGAGAAATACTAATTTAAATGTACTTCTGTGTTGTTTTGAATTTTTTTCTTTTTTTTTTTTGTATAATTGAGTAAAGTAACGATAATTATCGAAGAACGTGCCCCCTCCTCATTCTAGCTGGTGCAGTAACTAACGTATAATGTATAGCGTTTTATGATAGTGCAGCATGATATTTTTATAATGTAAAATGTTTTTTGATAGACAGCGAATACATCCTATTGATCTATTATTGTTTGTTTCGAGGAAAAAAAAGCTGATCGATGCCCAAATGAAAATGTCCTATTGAAATAAATAGAAGATTTTGTATTGCTATTTTTAATAAAATAATGAGTCTACACGAGACAATTGGTTGTTTTTGTTTCTGACTGGTTTTCCTACATTGGTTATCTTTCCTATGGCATTTCTATTATACATGTGTATTATTGTAAGTGATATTAACGAGAGTTTTTGGAAAACATTGTTTATTTCTCTTATATACAATATATGAGATAACGATTTGTAATTAAAAAAAATAACCACATGTATACGTTTGTACTTCAGTTACGAAATTAGTATTCCTTGCTGATTTCATTATTCAATGAAATTTGAAGGTATATGTAAGCAATGCTAAATATATATTATACATGTGTACCTGACACTTTTATTTTAAATAGATGTTATTCTGCTTTTTGCAACGAGCAGGAAAGGTTACTGTAATGCAATATATGGTTTCATATCCTGTGCATGTAGGTCCATATTGCACGTGGGACACTGAAACATTTTAGTTGCAGTAAAGTGCGCTTTCATACAGTAGTAGCAGAATATATGTTCACAGCCTGCAGAATTTGGTAAAATAGGATTTCCTGCACAGTGCGGACACTTTGTTGTTAGGTCCATTTTCAGGATACCATGGAATTTCATGGAAGCTGTATCTTTCTTACGAGACCAGAAACGCTTAAGCGTGTGTTTAAGATAATAAATGTTTAACATTGGTAAACCAATTGTAAATAATTCCATTAAGCTGTGCCAGAGGAGCTCTCGGGTCATATAAGAGTATCCGATACTTCTAGGTTTATGTGTCTTTGTAGACTGACTGAATATTCCCAAGATACGTTCTACTAAACAAGGTTGAGTTCCTTGATGTAGGAAGCTTATTAAATTTATAAGAGAAAGAGCTTGTACAATGCTAGAAATTCTTTCTATATAAAGTTTAATTCTATCGCTTCTTTCACTGGTTGTAGCTAGTCTAACATCTGCCAATCTTTCTTGAACATATTGCGGTAGAACAGTTAATATTACATACAAGACAGCTTTCTTCCGATTGAAGTTTGCATAATTCAAATTCAACAACTGTTGCGCGAAGGTAGCATTACCTGCTCTTAAAGAGTAATTCCAAATTGCTAAACTTAGCAGCACATTAATCTCAGGCTGCCACTTAGCAATACTACCTGGAGGTAGATATTTGGTGATCTTGTCAGTCTGATATTTCAGTATCTTGTATATCTCATTGTCGAGTTGAACAGCATCTATCTGATTGACTCGTGAGACATAAGGAGAGGCAGACATCGCACTCTGAAAAAGAATATCAAATCTAATTAAATAAGCTCCCAATTATTCTGACATTCCCATAAATATATTTACAAAACAAATCAACTAGCGTCAGCCAAGTTGATTAACAATCTCAAAGCTAGGTTAGCAAATTTAACACACAATCTAAACACTTGAATTACCTTTTTATATTCAATAAAACCATAAATAATTTCACATCTATAATTCCTCATAAATCCAATTCAATCACTAATAGCATAAGGAATATTTACCGTTAAGAAATTGAAAATAAATTTCGCAGGTATTACGTGTCATCCAAGTGGGGTTAGATTATAGTTTAACCGTGTTGACGAACTTCAGTGCAAGCGTGTCTTTAAATCAAAGCGGTATGGTCGATGTAAGCATCGTTAGGATCTCCATTAAATTTCACACAACCCACGAAAAACCTATAGTAAAAGTAATATCCATTAAACACAAGAAAATTGAAAGAATAAATCTACATTTTATTTAGAGTTTCGCGGGTTTCAATGCGAACACGATATTCAAGATAAAGGTTAGAAAAAGTGCGGAATAGAACTTCAGTCGAGCGAGCTATACGTAAACTTGGGATCCATGTTGCTCGTGGAATGACGTCATTGAATGTTGGTGCAAGTGGGTTCGTTCCTGTCCCTTCAAAGTTTCCGATCATGTTTTCGTGATAAAGTTGACGTTTTCGAAGTGTTTCCTGATTTTCCAGTGAGTCCAAGTTACTTTAACAAGTGGTGGGTACGACAGTGTTACTACGGACGATTAAATCGCCGCGATGTAAGTACGAAAAATTACATAATTTCGTTTTTATAGGTTTCACGTGAAACCCGAAGCCGAAGCATCGATCTGCCAAGTGACAGGTTAACCTAAGAATTGATCAGTCTTGACAAACCGATTGAAATTTTTATATGCCACGGCCTAGTTAGTCAATTCAGTCTATTTTATATTACCTATGTTAATGCAAAGCTGGAGAGTCCACTTTGAATACTTGTATTGATATAACCTCGTCCGGCATCAAAATGTCTATTCTGACGGCACATTGTTAACCTGCACCCTGTCTTCTTCCTGGATCACATGACATTCTGCTTCAGATTATAATATAATTATGCTCCATACACATTCCCTGCTATCTCACATATGTATAACTGATATGAACTCCGGTTCGGAGGTGTGATTTAACGAATTTTTTTTCTAGCTTTCTTTAACGCCACGTGTCTTGACTCTTGTAGAACGGCTTGTGTTGTTTGTCCGATAGTTATTTCTTCATACTAATGTTCTAACAGAAGTAGACTAATATAATATGCAATCAGCTTATCATCTGCGCGTTATCCATTTTTTTTCACCTGCTCTCCATGCAATCATTTCTGTGTACGGTGCTCCACGTGATATCGGCCATTCTCGTTGATACATAAAATTATTGATTTTCTTTTGTCTATTTTATCGTAATACCAACACTATATTTAACATTGTTCATAAATTCTTCCTTCTATGAAAATATTAACGTTAGAATTTCGGTAGAATTATATTTTTGCTGAGGTATAGAATACTACAGAATTTTGCTTAACATTTATACCTTTTCTAACCGTGGACACAGTTTAGGATATTTTTGAAAGTCATTCCTAATATACGCACAAGTATGCATTCCATCGGTATCCTTACGGTTTGTTCATAGATTCACCGTTATGGATTTGCGAAACGTGGTGCACGACCTTGACACGTATCCGCAAGACTTACCTAAGTCGCTTAGAAGTTTACTTGAATATTAAAAAAAAGAAATTCAACTATGTATCTTCGCTAGTAAATATCCACATTGTAAACATAATATATGACGTTGCAAAGTAGACTTGAGCAGATATAAAATGTTCTTAGGAATTAAATTTTATCAAGCTCTTATCACACAATTGTTGTCCTCTACTTGGATTTGATAATTTTCTTTTTAGCTACCGTAATCTCCATCTATTTAACAACATTCAAATAAGACCAATAAAACTCGCCAAACTTTATCATTAATCCATTGTTCGCTTCGCCAAAACATAATATTCCTATAACGACTGTCGTAAAGCCTCAGAAAGTTTAACCGGAAATTTTCGAAAGGACAAATTAAATTCTCATGGACCAGTGAATGCTTAAAGTGATTTGAAAAAAAAATTCAGCAGAATAAATTTCCACTCTCGTCTCATTCCAATAAAAACAACATTGAAATTACTCGGTCGGTAATGCTTCGCAGACCTATGGTCAATAGTAATTGGCCTGTTATTTAAATGAGTTCCATTTGCATTTGAACCTCTCTTTAAATGGGTCTGCACGCGCGAATCCTGTTCGATAGAGACATTGCGTTAAGCGAGCACGATTGCCGAGTGCGCGTGACGAAGGATGGAAGTAGGAAATCGTAAATAAATAAAAATATAACAAAAATACGGAAAATAGATTTTGCATAAAAGTCGGCCATTTTGAACAACGCAAAAATTTGCCAGCGTTATTGAGTAATACGAAATTCGTAAAAAAATGGTAATTCATTTTTCTCGGTACCCCGACCCTAATTTGTACATGCGATATTGCTGCATTGGCGATACCTGAGATACTGCAAGGCTCAGCTGCGCTTTTCATCAGCTCAAATTTCTCGTTCGGTTTATTCTTGCAGAATCGATTGAACTTTTACATTGATTAATTGACGTCTGCGATCTTCGATTCTCTTATAGAGCATCTACTGTGCATTCTCTCATATATATATATATGCGCTATAGTGTATACATATTGCCAGTATCGTATGGGAAAATTGTGGTAAACAACTACGTCAAATTGATTTATTGACAGCCTTCAATCGTACCTGGTATTGCATATTCTAACTGCAATAATTCACGAGACGTTGCCTTTTCGAGCACATGTGTGCTCATATGGATACTATGTGATACAGGCGTAAACCGTCGTACATAATCATTTGAATATCGTTGAACCACTTATTGCGAGAACTAATGCAATAAAAAAAATATGAGAAGTTTAATATCTCAATTTTCATTGCTCAACTCTTTTTTTAAATATTCATGAATCCAGTCTTACGACAAACTACTGAAGCAGACATACATATCACCTCTTTCCTGGATTTGCGAAAGAAAAAAAACAAGATGCATCGTAATTTAATTGTCAGCAGCAGCAATTCGCTGCTTCTGCACTTGGCAAAAGTTGTTACAGTCACTGAGTGATATATAAGAAAGTGCATATATATTTATCCACATGATTTGGCTTTAGTATTAATTAATATCTCGACACTTTGGCTGTCTGCCCAATTTCCGTAGCCATACCCATATGCTCTATACGCCATATACTCCAGTATATATCAAAGTTCCCATAAGACAGTAACAGAGTCATCAAGCGATTAGGGAGTAAGACTTGATAATTTTGCTAACCTAATCAAACCTTGATAAGCCGCCTTAAAGCCAAGTGTAATCAGAACGGACTATAGTATCTACATATACTCTGCACTTAACGTTAATAGCAGCCATACACTTCGTTACTGCTCATTACATTGTAAAATGGTACACGTTGCTGGTTTCGCTATGAGATTGGTCCAGCATCAGCATCCAGTTAGCACAGGTCTCAGAAACAATTTAGGCGCCGCTCCTGCCAGACGGATTCATTTATATTAATTTTCTGAATGTTCGCTCATCAGCTACGGACGGTAAAATGGACGAGGGTAAACCCTCTGGATAGACTGTGCTATGTTGACTCGCATCTGCCGTCATTACTATGATTGGGGATGAAGCTCGGTCTCGCGAAGCTAACGTATTCCTACTCAGGTTCGTTAATATCTTCTATCAGAATTGCTTTCGTGTTTGCTGATACGAATGGCGACGTTGAAAACAATGAGTACGTCACTACCCTCTTTAGTGCAAAGTTTTATTCAGCATCGCTCGACGTCGATGGAATATAATGTCGCTGAAGAGAATATTTCTCCTTGGGTAAGTACGGACTACGAGTTGAATGTAATTTTTTCCTTTCTTTTAGTCTGAATGATCTTTGACTCGCTAGCACGGTGCTGCCATCTGACGCGGCCATCCCTTATAGCTTGACACTCCTCACTTTGAATGGGGTCACACGATGATATTTCCTGGCGCTTCTCCCTTTATCTGCAAAGATAAGCATACAGCTTCGTGTAATTTCTGACAGTTGAAAGTTCCCACTTATGGAACGTGTATGTATATATGAAAATGCTTTGGAGCACTTTACCTTTGCTTGAGGGATTTCTTCGTCTCTTGAAGAGAATTGCACGGTAGGGGTTGATATAACGAGGCTCTAGAAACTGGAATGATCCATTCACTGGGTTGATCGTGATAGTCGGGAACCTTCTTGATTTCATTGATATTGGTATTTCACGTAATTGAAGTTTGTCATGAAGATTCTTCGGATGACATTCCAATTTGGAATTTACTTCCCAGATGACCTATCAGTACATGTCAGGTTATACCGTTACACAATACCCTGCATATCTTGTACATTCCGCCGGAGGATATCGTATAATCCAAAGGACCTTCGGTAATTGCTCTGGAATTTGAGAAATTTTTTTAATTCGCCTGCTTTTACATGAATATTCAATTATTTTATGAAGAATAAGTATTACGCTTGGAGGAAAGTACATTTTTAACCTCTGATAGTGAATTCTGGGTGCGCTTAAGCGTACAGTACATTTCGTCATATTATCTCTCAGAGAGAAAAAAAAGGTAAAGAGACGACAAAAAAGAATTGAAGTAAGTTTGAGCCAAGGTTCGATTCGAATGTCCATCGTGGTCGGAGGGTCGTCGGAAAAGTCAAGTTTTGCTCGGAGGGCAGGTGGTGGCGCGAGGCGTGGCGAAGTATTGATCGTCGTTGCGAATTCCCTTTCTCCGGCGCCATTTTCCCATCCCGAGCCGAACTCCCGACCGACGTCATCCACCCCGATTCAGAGCTCCTCTCTCAACCCTCGTTCCTACCCTCAACTTTATTCCCCGTCCAGTGGCTGAAACCTCCACTCCTACCCCCCCCCC